TGGGTTGGGTCTAAGTTGTAACATGAAATCAGCCGTGAAGGCCTTTCTGTCTCCTGTCATCAACTTTCTAAGAGTCAGAGAGGTGGCTCAACCGTACTTCAGTTTATATTGCCACTAACTAGAGAAAAAAAATTTACTGGGGATACACTGTGCCAATCCCTTAAAGACAAAACAGTCCTAATTTATTTTTAATAACATAATTATGTCATTAGGCCATATAGTTGTGTAATTCCAAATGACCTAACCACAAAACCGATGAATTCACCATGAATATTTAGACTAAGCATTATCATATGTAATCTTTAGTTAGAAATACATATTTCCATTATGATAGAGAGTTTCAGAAGATTTTAATTTTTTTTTTTTTTGCAATGGAAGTTGATTTATAGTTTTTGTGTTTTTTCCCTGGTTAGTTCTCATTAAAAGTTAAAAATACACAGGGGTAGGAAAGAATAGATTGGCTGGGCACCCAGAAAACAAGGTCTGTGTGCAGACTGACTCTAATTAGAAGCATTAACAACTCAGTGTGGAGAAGGTTCAACTGCCAGATCTTGGTGCCCAACACTGGTTCTGGTAGCAGCAGGAAGACAAAGCACATGCTGCCCAGTGGCTTCTGGAGGTTTCTGGTTCACAACATCAAGGAGCCGTAAGTGTGGCTGATATGCAATAAATCTTACTGTGTAAGATAAATCTTACAATGCTTTCTCCAAGAATTCAAAGCCATGGAGAAAAGAGCAGCCCAGCTGGCCATAAGTCACCAATCCCAATGCCAGGCTGCACAGCAAAGAAAATGGATAGACAACAGTTAAAGAAAAGACGGCAGGCCCAAAATGCAGTCACTCATGCTAAAGTTCTGCATCACTAAACTGAAACCTAAGTTGTTTACTTGTAAAATCTGACCTTCTGAGAAGTCAAGAGAGAGAGGTGATAGCTAATTCCCACCAAGCCGACAAGATTTTGCTTGGGTCCCTGTAAGGAAAGTAATCTTGAAAGGACCAATTCACTATTTGTTTCTTGTTCCTGCTTTCCTACACTTTTTTTTTTCTTTCTTTTTTTTTTTTTTTGCTTATGAAACTCACCCTCTCTATTTAGCTTATTGGAGCTCCTTTCTATTTTGTAAACTGGATGCTGCCTGGTTAGAAAGTCACTTCCTTATGTCAGTAAGGAAGTGAGGGAACTTGGCAGGCAAGGTACTTAGTAGTCTGGGCTTAGCAGACAGTCTACAGTTGCTAAAACAATTTAGTAAGTAAACAGGGTATTTTAGACTCGTCTGGCAAATTAGATATAAATAGGTATTATAGGTTTGGCAAAAATAAGTACCTGACACTGACATAATATATAATAGCATAAAAATAGGTGCTTTACACATGTGGCAGACACGAATTTGGTCTTTGGCTCTGGGAGCTAGAACAAAAGTGTATTGGCACTGTTCTAGGTGCTAGGGGTAAAGCAGTGAACAAGAAAGACCAACGTCCCTGCCCTATTTTGTTTTAAACGAAGTTAAGTCTGGCTCTGTACCACATTGGTCATTGGTCAAGAGAGACGAGAAATCTGGGACTCGTCATGTTTACTCTTAAGGGAGGGGGATATATCAGTGGTGTCTGCACCTTGCCAGGGGGCTACACATTCCAGAATATTCTGAGATGGGTCCTCTGGTCTTTAGACCACACTGGCCACCACTCTGGATGTTCCATGGTCAAAGTCCTATGGTCTCTTGCCTGGGTCACCCCTAATATTTATAGGGCACAGGACAAGAGTATAAATGGAGGTTCATATGCCATATGTTAAACATTTGAAAGTCATAAATCAGGCTGACAAACTGTTAAATAGGTTTTATCATTCTATCTTGACAAATATAACTTCATAATAAGCTGGAAGGCCTGGTTCAAATTTAGAATTTGGGGACTTCTTAGAATTCTGCATCTGAATGTTGAGGTGTAAGAAAAGCTGGCCTCTGGCCCCAGCTGTGGCCTGCTGTGATACTGTGATTTAAAGTAAGAGATACATATTTAATCTTCTTCCTGTTCCTGCACAGAACTCCTAACCCCCTTGGAATTTCCTGGGTGATAGAAATGTCTTTCATTCTAATGCTGCTACTCTTGGTGGGCTCCTGGATAACTTCAGGATGAGGGCTGGTTGTCAGAGGAACAACCCATGTGATTAGAGGGTTGGAACGTTCAGCCCTACCTCCTGGCCTCTGGCCAAGGAGAGGGCTGAAAGTTGCGTTGACTGCCAATAGTGAATGATTTAATAAATCATGCCTAAGTAATGAAGCCTCTGTAAAAACCCGGAAGGACAGGACTCAGAGAGCTTCCAGGTTGATGAACACGTGGAGGTGCTGGGAGGGTGGTGCACCTAGAGAGGGCATGGAAGCTTGCACCTAGAGAGGGCATGGAAGCTTGCACCTAGAGAGGGCATGGAAGCTTGCACCTAGAGAGGGCATGGAAGCTTGCACCTAGAGAGGGCATGGAAGCTTGCACCTAGAGAGGGCATGGAAGCTTGCACCTAGAGAGGGCATGGAAGCTTGCACCTAGAGAGGGCATGGAAGCTTGCACCTAGAGAGGGCATGGAAGCTTGCACCTAGAGAGGGCATGGAAGCTCTGCACCCCTTCACACACATCTTGTCTGTACATCTTTTTTATTTGACTGTTCCTGGGTTCTGTATCATTTACAAGTGAATAAATGTAAGTAAAGTGCTTGCCTGAGTTCTGTGAGCAATTCTAGCAAATGATTGAACCTTGAGGAGTGTATTAGTCTGTTTTCTGTTGCTTATAACAGAATACTGAAACTGGGTAATTTATACAGAAATGAAATTCATTTCTTAGCATTTTGGAGGCTGGGAAGTTCAAGGTCCAAGGAACACATCTTGTGAGGTCCTTCTTGGTGGTAGGAACTCTCTACTCTACAGAGTCCTGTGGCAACCAGGATATCACATGGCAAGCATGGCATAAACGGGAGAGTTAATATGCTCACTTGCTCTCCTTAAAAGGCCATCAGAACCACTCCTTGATAACCTATTACATTATTAACCCATTACTCCATGAATGGATTAATCCATTCACAAGGGCACAGTCAATTACCTCGTAAAGTCCCCATGTTTCAGCTGGATTTCCCAGTCTCTTAACACTGTTACCATGGGGATCAAGCTTTGATGAGTTTTGGGGGGACATTCAATCCACAGCAAGGAGGTTGTGGAAACCAATCCAGTCTTTCAGATGCACAGGTGACATCCTGGACTTATGATTGGCATTTAATTTGATGTGGGAGGCAGTCTTGTGGGACTGAGCCCTAAACCTGTGGGGTCTACACTAACTCCTGGTAGATAGTGTAATAATTGAGTTAAATTGTAGGAAACTCTATTGGTGTCCACAGAGAACTGGAGACTTACTTGGTGTGGGAAAAATCCCACATATCTCACATCAGATGTGTGGTATTGAGAATGGCATGAATATAGAGAACAGCAGTTTGTTTTTCCTATACTTCTGGAGTTTTTTTCCTTCTTACACCTCCCCTCTTTCTCTTCCCACATAGCTCTGTCCTACACAATAAGGGAACTTGCATGCATGTGTGTGTGTAGTCTGGCTTGCACAACCACGCTCAGCCCACCAACCCCCCTCCCTGCCAAAAATCCACCTTTTATCTGTCCTTCAGATGAACATGAGTACACAGGGACATGGATGACTTCAGGAAGATGAATCCTGAAAAGAGGCTAGCTCAGGACCTGGTAGCAGTTTGGGGCCATTTGGGCTGTGAATTCTGAGGTCCAGTTAAGTGGAGCATGGTCTAGAACAGCGAGGTGAGGGCTCTAGCAGACATGTCCCTTGCAGAACTTTTGCCCCATAAAAAGGGGCACAGCCAATGCAAGGCCAGAGCAGAGCCCTCTAAAGTATGGAACCTAGGGTTGGAGCTCATCTTTCCTAGGTTCACAGGTGGTACTGTCTTTGCTGGTGGTTGATTCCAGTACTTCCGAGCAAAGATTTATTCAGGGATCTATACTAAAATTGGGAGCCTTGGGGCTGGTCTGAGGCTCACTTGGGAGAGCGTGGTGCTGATAACGCCAAGGCCATGGGTTCAGATCCCATATAGGGATGGCCGGTTCGCTCACTTCGGAGAGTGTGGTGCTGACAACACCAAGTCAAGGGTTAAGATCCCCTTACCGGTCATCTTTTAAAATAAATAAATAAATAATAAAATAAAATTGGGAGCCTTGAAATCTAGTGGCCAACCCTTCCTGCCCCCTGAGGTGCAGCATGCTGCTAAGTCATCCATCACCATCAGAGACCCTAAACCCTAGTCTCTGATTCTCTTGAAATCCATAAATGCCCTAAATATAGGAAGTTGTTCTCCAAATAGCTTTCCCTGGTGTTGATCTACTTTTTCTCCCAACCTTTGATGTCTCTTGCCACCTGGGACAATCCAGCAACGGAAGGTTGTATTCTGGGTGTCAGGCATTTTTTTTTTTTAATTTATCAAGTGATATTTATTAATATCCCAGGCAACTAGTGTTATATAGAATATCTTCTGGAATGCATTGAGTTTGTGCATCTGAAATCTTAATTAGGATCTATGTTCTAGGCAATGCAGTGAAGTTGGTGAAATGTGCCTTCTGCCTGTGTTAACCTCCAACAGCCCGAAACTTATGGTCTTCACCCTAAATATTGTGATGAAAAGAGTGCTGGTTTTGCCACACACACACAGCCCCAGGTTAACTCCTGAAATGTACCTTCTGTGGCTGCATTTCTCAGAGCCAGGTCTCGGAAGGTCTGCCCCACCCTCTTTTTTCCTAAGCCAGCTAACTTCCACCATCCACCTGTTTAGTCATCCTTTTCTGTAGGAAGCCTTGGCTCTCCTCCACTTCCCACCAACGTAGCCTCCCCCTTCCATCATTACACAAATAAAAGTAAAGTCATATGTCTTTACTGGTGCTGGACACTTAAAGGCACTGGGTAAATAGTTGGCCCTCTGTATCTGTGGGTTCTGCATTGGTGAACTCAATCAACCATGAACACAAGATGGCTGATGTTCTCCAGCATCACATCTCTGTATAGCTTTTCCTGGAATGTGTCCAGCAGGGCCCATTCTTCCTGGGTGAAGTCCAGAGCCACATCCTCAAAGGTCACTGATTCCTGTTTTAAGGAAAACGTCCACATCAAAGCCTCCTCCTCAGCTGTCAGGGCCGAGGACAGGAGCTTTTTTCTCCCCATGGATGCGAAGCCTCCCAGTTGGATCATGAGGGAAAGGAAGCTCTGTGCTCACTGTGGAAGGGCCGCCTTGTCGGTTTCAGGAAACTTTTAACAGACAGGAGGTTGTGTCTGGGTGTCAGACAACTTCTAATTTTGGCTCTGCAACATTAAAGCCATTAACCACTCCCTGAGGCAAATGTGGCTTTCCTTGGATGGATGAGGCAAAAATACCTACAGCAGCGTGACCAAGACACAGATTAACATCTCAGTTGTCCCGCTAGATGTGTATTATCTCATTCATTTCTTTACAGCATCATTTCTTTACAATCTTATCGAGGAAATGAAACAAACTCAGGAAGATTAAGCACTTGCTTAAGGCCATAAAGAAGAACTAGAATTCATTCCCAGAGCTGTCTGACTTCAAGGCTTGTGTTCTTTTCACCATCTACACCGTCACCTATCATGGCTAAGAGCTTCACAATTAAAAAACAAATTGGTGAAACTGCCGGACAAAGTGTATTGTCTTTTGTATCTGTTCCATTTATTAGAATGGATCCCTAGATTTGTTTCTGCAATTCTGGACTCTTAAAAGGGATGTAGCAAGAGAGGAATCGGAGCCTGTTAGGGGATGCATTTTTATTATATGATCATGTAGCATTTTGTAGAAATGTGGACTCTGCTGGGCAGCATCAGGGGATTAATCGACTTGTTTTGCATTATTATTTTACTTCTAAAAAGCCAATAAGATGCTCATCAAAAAGCCAGACATTGTCAAAAATAGAATTAGATATATGTCACCTGTAAATAAATTAGGATTGAATGTGAAATGTTGGGTCATTTCTTATTGTTTGTTGTCCTCTTGTTCATTTCCTTATTCCTATCATCCTGCTCAGATCAAAACATAAAGACTCCCCAGGTCTGGTTTTATTGATGGTTTATATTGCTTGTTGTAAGTTTCAAGAATATACACCCAAGGTGAATAAAAAGGTTTATAATAATGTAAAATTTTAAATCATGGAAAACAAAACTTTTTTTCATTATTTTTATGCTAAAACTCAGACACATTAAGTCCAGATCCTAATTGCCTCACTAAATGCTTTAAAAAGAGAATGGGGAAAAATGGATAGGAAAAGGGGGAAGAAGCCAAGCAACTGTGCAGTTTCAGATGAAATCCTGGCCTCAGCCTGATCCTGTTGGGCTCTCTGGAGCATAAGTTACACCTCAAGGTTTATCTGGCCTTGAGGCAGAGGAGCTGGGCTTCCATACTCACGTACTATTTGGGCAATGGCTATGGTTCCCCCAGGGCGATTCTGGGTTTTTGGGAATACTAGCAAAGCAGATTCACTGGAAGCAAAGCGAACAGAAGCTGAAAGATAGGCCCCAGAACTGATCAGAAAGGATCAGAGAGCCTTTGAGTGGTGCACTGACAGCATCAGCTATGCCAGAGACCATTTATTCTACAGTTTATACTTCTTTCACTATAGGTCTGGACTATAGGTCCAACAGACATAGGCTCCATTAACAACCAGTAGTTGTGGAGGAAGAGACTCAGGGCTTTGAACTGTTAGAGTAGCCTAAAGAATTCAAACAACCCCCTACCCAACATTCTAGGGGAGTCAGACTGGCATATCTCCTTATACAGTACAAAAAACTTCTAGGTAATTGATCGCTAAGTATATGCCATGCCACTGGCATTGTAAGGAAGGCAAAACATTTATCAGACTTGGATAGTCCATATCTGGAAAAACTTACACTATAGCTGGGTAGATGAAATCACATGCATGAAACAAGTATGAGCAACACTGGACACAATATAATTAAAGACTGTTGAATTTCGAGAAAAAAGAAATAGACTCACTTTGGCTACACTTTTTCAGAAACTTATAGTATAAGTGGTGAATAAGTTCAGATCAAGCCCTTGCATATAGTCATTTAACAAATCTAAGCCAGATCTTTGTGCCAGACAGATGATAAGCTTGTTAGGGCTGAAGGCTGGGGGTTAAACCACAAGAGAATGCACTCTGGGGGATTATTTGGGTGCTAACAGCATTTTTTAGTAGAAAGCTCAATTACTATACTTCATTCAATGAGTGCCATGAATTGTAAGATATGCCATCATTTTATTTAGCATTAAGAAAGAAAAACTCTGCCAGTTACGCAATGCAGTACCATCAACTGTAAGACATATCCCAATCACAGATGTTATAATTTTTTTTTAAAAAGTTCATTTTAAAATTGATGAAATGGGGCTGGAAGAGACTTCCTTTGCTTTTAGAGGACAGATAGAACCATGCCCACTTTTTCCTTTCTATAGTTCTTAGTGTTATCAGTCTGTGTGCATTTCCTTAGGGGAGAGGAAAAGTGATTGATAACAAGAAGGCCTTTGGTTTCTCTCTCTTACTCTAACTAGAACTAGCTTGATTGTGTAATGAAAGCCAATAATAGTATTTGAAATAGTAGCTAATATTTATCAGATGCTCAGCATGGATCTGACCCTGGGCTAGTTGCTTTTTACCCATTACTTAATTTAATTATTTCTTAATCCATTGAGTAAAGGTATTAGTATCCCCATTTTACTGATGGGTAAAGTGAGATTTAAAGAGGGTAAGCAATTTGCCTGAGGCCACACAGCTGCTAAGTATCTGAGCTGATAATGCAATGCAGGTCTGTCTATGTCCCAAGTTTATGTTTTTAACCACTATGCCAGGAGGTGATTTGATAAGAACTGGTTTCCTGCAAAGGAAATAGAATTCACATTTCATTTCAGTCAGCATTTACCAGTAACATTTCTTCTTAGGGAGCTTTCAGAAGGCAAAACATTGTTATCCAGACTGAAGAGAAGACTGAGTGACCTATTTTAAACTATATTTCTGATGGTACTATTGCATAACTAGTCTTTACACAGTCTTTGCGAATTATACTGCTGGATAATGGATTTTAAATTGCATGTTTAAGTAGACTAAGAACTCTATAGTTAGTGGGTTATATTTAAGAGACCACTGAATAGATAAGGAGCACAATTAAAGAGTACATTTCTTCCAAACCCCTAATTTGTGTTAGAATATTCAATTACCATCCTGTATGTGCAGGCATGAATTTTGATCCCGTAACAATGAAGTCTAGCCCAGACGTTTGCAAACTCAGAATTATTTATCAGCAAGTATTACTTAACTCACATTTGACAGAACTGTTTACGTCTACTGACAATTTTGGGTTATCTGAATTTAGAAGTAGTTGGCTACTTCTAGGCTACTTCAAGGTTAATCCTTGATTAACCTGAGGTAATAGAATTCTAAGATAGAAATGTCAGTTTGCTAGCATCTTAATGGGTTTAGTCTAATCATTTTATAAACTGGACTAGCAATTCTCAAATGGTTTTGTTTCAGGACCCCAAAGAGCTCTTACAAAATATTGAGGACCTCAGAGAGCTTTTGTTTATGTGGGTTATAACTATCACTACTTACCATATTAAAAATTAAAATGGAGAAAATTTAAAAACATTATTAATTGATTTAAAATAAGAATAATAACTTCATTAGAGGTTAACAAAATAACATAGTTTATGAAAAATAAGTATATTTTCCCAAACAAAAAAATTTTATGAGAAGAGTGGCATTGTTTCACATTTTTGCAAATCTCTTTAATGTCTGGCTTGATAGAAGACAGTTGAATTCTTATATCTTCTGCATTCTGTCTTTTGTGATACCACATGTCATGTGAGCTCTGCAGAGTTCCAATGTTCACTTGAGAGAATGAAGGTAAAAAAAAAAAAAAAGGCAAATAACACAGTACAGTATTATTATAAAAATAGTTTTATTTCAAGGGCTTCCTGGAAAGGTGTTGGAGACCTCCAAGGGTCCCTGGACCAGTGGCATTAAGTACACTCACATGGTTGTGCAAACATTGCCAACATCCATCTGCAGAAATTTTTCATCTTCTCAAACTGAATCTTCATACTCATTAAATGATAACTTCCCATTTTCCCCTCCCCCAGGCCATGGCAGAGACCATTTTACTTTCTGTCTATGAATTTGACTTCTCCAGGTACCTCATATGAGTGGACTCATACAGTATTTGTCCTTTTATATCTGGCTTATTTCACTTAGCATAATGTCTTCAAAATTCATCCATGTTGTTGTATATGTCAGAATTTCTTTTTTTTAAAATGTCTTTTTTTATAAATTAATTTTGTTTTGTTTTTAATTGACACATAATAATCATACATGTTTATGAGGCACAGAGTGATATTTCCATACACGTACACAATGTGTAATGATAAAATCAAGGTAATTAGCATGTTCATCACCTCAGACATTTATCATTTCTTTGTGTTAGGAACATTTGAGATCCTCTCTTCTAGCTATTTGAGAATATACAGTGCATTATTGATAATTATAATCACCTAACAGTGCTATTGAACACTAGAACTTATTCTTCCTATCTAGCCGTAAGTTTGTATCTGTTAAGCAACCTCTTCCTATCCCTCTCCTTGCTACCTTTTCCAACTTCTATAACTACAATTCTACTCTCTACTTTTATGAGCTCAACTTTTTCAGCTGCCACATATGAATGAGAATAACAAATGCTGGTGAGGATCCAGAGAAAAGGAAACTCATACACTACTGGTGGGAATGTAAATTAATACAGCCACTATGAAGAACAGTACGAAAGTCCCTCAAAAAACTAAAATTAGAGCTACAATATGATCCAGCAATCCCACTAATGGGTGTTTAGCCAAAGGAAACCAAGAGCTAGCTGCATAACCATGTTTATTGCAACAGTATTCACAATAGCTAAGATATGAAATCAACCTAAGTGAACATCAGTAGATGAATGGGTAAAGGAAATGTGGTATATACACAATGGAATATTATTCATCCATAAAAAGAATGAAATCCTTGTCATTGGTGGCAATGTATGAGCCTGGAAGACGTTATGTTAAGTGAAATCAGTTGGGCACAGAAAGAATTTCATTTCTTTTTACAGCCGAATAATATTCCATTGTATGTGTATAAATTATG